TCTTGCTGCTTAGCTGTCTTCTGCCACCATGAACTGTTCCCCCTCTGCCATATGCCACCTTGCCTTGAAGCCAGCCCATTAGGGACTGAAACCTTTACACACTGTGAGCCAAATGAATCTTTCCTCCTTTAACTTTGGGTGTTTGAGTTATTTGTCTCAGTAATGAGAAAAGTAACTAAGGCAGTAATGAACAGCAAATAATGGCTCACAGGGCCAAGGTTTAAGAAGTAGATTTACTGTATGCCAAAGCAGCACCCTAGGAGTCACCAGTGGTTGACTCGGGATCCCTGCTACTTTGGCCTAACAGGAGGTGTTGCAAAATGTGGTTCAGTGATGCCACATGTATCCTCAACCTTCCCTTTTCTGAATAGGATGCTTTATTCTGTTTGTGCTACTCTTGCTCCTCCAGTTTATTACTGATGGGGAAGAAAGAGAACTTGAAGTTTAGTTCATAAGCGGCTGAGTTTGAGGGTCAAATCTGGACCTAAAGAAGGGAACTGCACATCAAGTACAGCTTCTCAGCTCTGGATTCTGTGACGAGACCCAGGCTGTCTTCCTTGCAGGGTGAGCACATTCCACAGTGGGAAGAAGGCAGCAGGTGAGTGCAAGCCTGGTGAGCTGCAAAGGGTTCCTCACACCCTCTTTAGTAACAGGATACTCAGGCACATGGCTGCCCAAAGGGGCCATATCTCCTAATGTGCCCAAGGACAGCCTGGTTAAAGTCTTAACCATGCCATGTGGTTAAATGACAATGTCACTTCCAGCTCTGGAACGTTAGACCCCTGTATTCTCATTTTATGTGTTATCTGGGACCCATATGTCGTGGCAATAAACCTGCTTCAACCACATTTGGCAATAACAGTGACCTAGGAAATGACAGGCTAACAAGCAGGAAGGAACTGTGTTAGGACAGAAGAGATAGGTAGAGGGGACATAAAGAAACTCAATTTTTTCTTTTTTTCCCTTATTCCTCAAAACTCTGAGGCAGAGTTGGGGCTCAGTGGGCCTGCTAATTCCATAGGGAGGCTGTCCTGCAAAGTTTATTAGTCCCACATTTACCAGGCTGTCCTCAAGACTGAGAACACCAGGCTGGGCAGATAGTTTAGAGGCATAAGCACTTGCCTGGCAAGCCGAAAGTCCTGGGATCAATCCCTAATACCAAAAAACAAAACAAAACAAACAAAAAACAGGCCAAAGACACCATGATAGGAGCACCTATACTGACGTTCAAAGTCTCTAACACTAGCTTTTGTCCAACTGCACAATGCCCTGGAGTGATGCCCTAGAAGTTTTCAAATTGATGATACGTCAGATTCCAAGAAAAGCTAGGCCTTGCAAGTCACACCCTGATGAGATCGTCTCCCCTTCAAGCAGGGGAAGTTACCTCATGAAGAGAACCAAAGCTGCCCCCTCCCGAGCAAAGATAATTTAGGAATACAAATAGCACTGCTCTGCAAGCCATGATTTCAGCTAGACCTGTGTGTGACAGTTAACCGTACAAGCTCTGTACTGATGAAGTGAGGACCCTGGAGAGCCTTGGGGTGGGGCTGGCCAGGAAGGATTGACCTGGGATTAGAGAATGCGAACTATCAGCCCTGCCTCTGCCACAAAGGAGGGGCAGGAGGATGGAGTTTGGATAATAACAGCACATACCAGGAGGTTCAGGGGGCTTTAGAATTGGTGGGTATGTTCAAGTGCCAGGAGGGTGCCATATGCAGAGAGCGCCTGGAAGTTCTGCACCCCTACTCTGCATTCGTACTTTCTGCCTTGTATATTTCTTCCATTTGGCTGTTCCCTTTTCCTCTTTATAATAGAGCATGAAATAGGAGTAAAGTTTTTTTTTTCTTTCTCTTAGTTCTCTGAATCATTCTAGCAAATTGTCCAAACTGTAGAGAACATCGTGGGAACCCTCAAATGCATAGCCAGTTAATCTTAAGTACAGGTTGATGGCTGGGACTTCCAACTCATGTCTGAGATGGGAGCAGCCTCAGGGGCCTGATCTTAAGCTGTCCATGTGCGATCCACATCAATCACTAACAACCTCTGGACAGCTAACATCTGAAGTGAAATGGGCTCCTCAATACCCAGCTGGTGTCCAAGAACTGGAAATCTGGTACAGAAAACCCTCACATATTCAGGGCCAGAGACCCCACTGAGGCCCAGCCTACAAAGACTATAAGGTAAGCAGACCTGACTCTGACACTTGGCACAAGCACCCATACTTTACCTTTGTACCAACCAGACTCTTTCAGGGTTCCCAATGATGTAACAACTTCAGGTAAGAAGCTCCAAGTTGCTGCACTGTCAACCTAACATATCAAAGTGGATTTTTCCAACCTCAGACATACGGTTGAGGAAAATAAATGCAACTGATTGCAGATTCTACTCAGAGAGAGCAGACTGTCCATCCTGGTACTGCGTCCCAAACCATGATTGTGACCCTGGTACAGCATCCTGTCCCTGCTCTCTAGGAGAGAGTGGGATACCTCTCAGTTACCCAGAGAGCTGTTGGAGGGCTACATGTTTACTGGCCTTTCCTTCCTTTCTTTCTACCCTAATTCCACTGAAAGTTACAGGAGGAAGGACTTCAGAGTTCTGAAACACCACTTTAGGCTTCTACGTGGAGATATGCTAAATTGAATGAGAAACTGCAATTTTAATTCAGATTAGGTGAGACTTTTAATAGCTAAGAATGAGATTGTCTGACAGTGTTTCTTAAGCACTTGTAAAAAACATGAGCTCTCTCTGAGTTATTAGTTATTAGGGTAAAAGAGAGATGCCTAACAGCAAATTTAAAAACCAATAGAGTGGGCTGTAGGTGGAGCTGAGTGGTAAAACATGTGCTTAGCACATGCAGGGCTCTGGGTTCAGCCCTCCCACGATAGCAAAAGCAGCAAATAGCTCCATCAGCTCGAATCCAACATGCGCAGCCATTCAGCACACAGGCTGGGCCAGGTCTGGATAGTAATGCCTATCTGGCTCTCCATCATACTCAAACAAGGATCACACAGAATGACTGCCACCACACCCGTTGTCAACAGCAGTGGGATGTGGCAGCTGCAGCAAGAATAAAATATTGAGTAACTCTGCCCAGTGTTTGTTTCTTTAAGACAACAGAAATGAGATGAAGCCCTTAAACAGACAGAGCACAAGAGGTTCGGGATTTAAAGTGAGACAGGTGAACTGGAATATTCAAAGAGATAGTTCACATTGCCACCTTTCTCACTTGAACTACCAAACTCCAGGCTTCTCTTTAATGTGAGACACAAACTTAATTCTTATTTCCACATAATCCTTTCTGATACAATGCCTGAAAAATAGTGAACACTTCTCCAAATAAATAAAGGTAAACAAGTCTAGAAATATGGGCGAAGGGGAGTAGAGCAGGCCGTTCACATAAGACAAGTCACTAAGTATACGAAGTATACAGCACTAGGAATACAGCACTAAGTATACAGCACTAGACTTCACAGTAACCCTTAAAATGTAAATTTAAAAGTGAGGTGCCATTTCTTTTTTTCTTTTAAAAGAGAATAAAGAATAGTGTTTAAAAACCCATAAGAAATTATACAGAATTTCATTAAACAAAATAGGAATTCAACAGTGGCTGCTATACTGCATAATGCTGTCTTCAAATTAGTTGTTGAGGCTACTAGATATAAGCATGCAAAATTGGTCAAGGAAGTTATAAGAAATGAAAAAGAAGAAAAAAAATCAAGCATTAATTGCTCCTTTTAATAGACCAAGAAAAATCAGTAGTACAACTGTCCAGGCTATCCTGTGTATATACCTCAGTTACCAGGTTGGCAAAAACGTTGAACATTAATTCTATCTAGTTGGAAAGGGTCCAGAGAAATAAACGCTCTTATTCACCACTGATGGGAGTTTCATGTGGAAAAGTATTTTTAGAACAGGGTTTGGAAAAGAGCATGAAAACCTCAAATGCAACGGTTTTGTGTGTGTGTGTGTGTGTGTGTGTGTGTACACCTGTGTGTATGTGTGTGGAAATCTAGGAAAGGATCTGGGAGAATATGTAACAAACCTAACAGCATTTCTACTTCTAAGGAGAAGAGGGGCAGTGGCTGACAGTGGACTCACCTTTTCAGCAGGACTCTATTTGTTTTTGTTTTATCTTATTGATTTTTAGGATGTGAGTAGTTGAACCCAAGGTGTTCCTTCGGAGCTATATCACTAGTCTTTTATATTTTTAAATTTTAAGGCAGGGACCCGCTAAGTTATACAGTTGCTAAGGCTGGCCCTGAATCTGCAGTCTTCCTTCTCTAACTTTCCCAAGTACTTCGCCCAGTGCTGTGCATGACCATACTGGGCTACACATATATTTGGGAGGCAAAGACAGGAAGACTGTGAGTTCAAGCCCAACCTACCTACTGAGACCCTGACTCAAAAGCAATTTATGCACTTGTACCATTTTTGTAAGAAAAACTTTAAATGAATGTAAGTTTTTAGAATATAAAAGAGATATAAAATATTTTTATTTTCCTTAAAACAGATGTATTAGGCATTGAGAAGGCACAGTCTACTCAAATTTAAGCAAATTCTGGCAACTGAGTTCTGTCTTAGTATAGGGAGGAAGCACAGGATTTTACAGACCCATAAAGGATACTTTCTTAATTGGCAAGATCTTAGGTACAGAACGATCTTTTATATTTCTGGACATTACTGATGTGTTATTTTTAGTAATTACATATAAAAATAATCTTTGGTATAGTATTATGAAATACATTTACTGAGATTTTTATTTTTAAATAAAAATAATGAATTGTATTATCAGTTATTTTTCTTTCCTTTTGGCAGACTGTCTTAAATTTTTAAGCCTTTGCCAAGGGAATAACCCTCTGCCAACCTATATTGATATATTTGCCTGTTTCAGGCCAGAATTCATTAAAAAGAGGGTAAGTCTTCCAGGGAATCTCTTTTTAAAAAATCTCAAAATTGTAAGCAAAAAGTGGGTCACTTCAAATGTAAGGAAACATTCTTACTTGGTCCTCAAAAGACAGAGCCTGGGCAACATCGCGTGGAAACCCATCAATAACGATTCCCTCCTCATCGGGTATTTGCATCAATTTTTGTTTTATCTCCGTAATTGTTGTTTCCTTTTATGTAGAGAAAAGACGAGAAACAACAGTTAAAATTAGCACCCTCATAACTAGTGTCCACATCTCTGCAGAGAAGCAGGCCATCAGCCAGCAGTACCTGCGGGGCCAGCTCCCCGTTGGTGATGATCTTGGCGATGAGGCTCCACTTCCGGTTGCTGCTGGCGCTGTGGATTTTCTTTCGCAGTAATTCTCCCACTGAAATGTACTGGAATCCATAGCGTTCTGCAATCTTCAAACTCTGAGTACCTTTTCCACTTCCGGGACCCCCTATTAGTCAAAACAGGCAAAAGGTGACCTTCAGATACGACAAGGAGCTCCTCTGAGACGACCACTACTGCGTCTGAGGCGAGGGTTTCGGGCCGCCAGGCCCACCGTGGGCGGATGTGGGCTTGTGGCCCCCTCAGGGCCGCTTGAATGCGGAGCGAGCCAAGGAAAGGTCGGAACTGCCTTGACCAAACTGTATTAAGTGAAAGAAAAGTCCTTCTCTACCTGTCTTAATACATAAGTGATTGGGCAGCTCGGCAACAGACCACCCAGCAAGCACGCACAACGCCCTCGCTTGGATTCCGAGCACCACACACGCACACACGTGCACGCACATGCGCACAAGCTCACACTGGTGCGCATGCGCACATGCGCACACAGCTAATTTAAATATTCGGGGGAGCTCAGGACGCACCCAGCTCTGGGTAGAGTAACCTAGCACGTGGGAAGCCCTGGGTTCAATCTCCAGTATCTAAAAACTTTTCAAAAGTATTGTAATTGAAAGAAACCTTGCCATTTTTCTGCGTAAAATCTGTTTTCCTGTCTATAATCAGAAAGAATAGTGTATGGGCCACAAAAGACAGTGATCAAATATGTATCGTGCCAATCAAGACTTAAAGTGTAATTTGGTGAAATGTAAATATTTTTAAAATCAGAAGCGCACCAATAGTGACACAGCTTATTTAAACTGGTTTGTTTTAAAATCAATTTACTTGTGCCTGTTTTTGACTATCTCCTTTGAATTTAAAAGTTTTATGTAATGAATATGCAGAGTCCATGGAATAGGTCTTCCAGGTAAAAAAAATTTATGCAACTTTGAGTGTGCAATATATTAATATGAAGTAATCAACGTTTTGCAACATAACAGTAATCACCAGCAATTGCCACTTTCTTTTTCAAAAACATGAAATATTCAAAATGTTAAGACATACCTTAGATTTGATATTCAAATTATATTAGACTATTTTAGTAAATCTATATTTCTGAACAACAGTCTAGAGTCAGAATAAATTTTAAATTGAAATATACAACAATCAAACCAGTTCACAGTTATTGGGGGGCAAACAGAACTTTTTTTTTTGAAGACTTGAGCATACATTATTATAAGCAAATATTTTTAAAATTCAGTGTCTATTAAGTAATGAAATGTGGTAACATTCACTGAAACGTGATTATAATTTATTAGGCAGCACAGAATAAAAATGGACACAAAAGTGAGTGTGTATTTCCCTACTAATATGAAAAGTTTTGTGTGAAGTCATTTTACATCTAATTTAATTAATACTTCTTAGTGTTTCAAATAATATAAGTTAAAAAGAAAAGTCTGGTTTTTTGTAAGAAAAGTTCAGAGTGGACAGATTTCCCAGATGACCAAGGTAGGTAGAACAATTTCTTTTTCTTTCTTTCTTTCTTTCTTTCTTTAATTTAATTTATTTTATTTTATTTTTTTTGGCAGAACCAGGGATTGAACTCAGGCCCTTGTGCTTGCCAGGGAAGCTCTTATTCTACTGAGCCATCTCCCCAGCCCCTGTAGAACAGTTTCTGAACCCAATCCAAAACAATGAACTAAATAATATCTAGCTTTTACTTTTTTATTGCTTTACTGAACTTAGTACAGGAATTGCTTACATTTTTGCCCATGCTCTTCTAAGAGACTACGTTTTCTCCTCTTAGGCTTAGCATTACAAACTACTTCTTCTCCTAGATTAAATTCTTTACGTTGTAATTGAAAAGCCAGTTTGATTTCCAGTAGCTGCTTTGACCTACTAACATGGGCTATTCAAGGACTGGCTTGAAGAAAAGTATTACATGACCAACTCAATTGAGAGATTCAATCTGATTTAATACCTAAAGAATAGCTTTCAGAATATAGTTATTTCCACTTGACTTCATAAGCCATCAAACCTAGATATTAGAAATTCCATTAAATTAAAAAAAAATTGAACACATTACAAAGTTAAGGCGCCTCCTGGGAAAAAGAAAACTTTTAATTTTGGAGTTAATAACATAAAACAAACCAAAAGAAAAAAAAGATTGGTGTATTAATGAGAATAGCATTAATTATTGACTGAGTTTGATTACTAAAACTTAACAATTTAATTTTACTTTCTCCATAAAACTAGACCTTAATATTTATTTAATACTAATACTTATAAATACTACTCTTATGATTACATTAATGTAGAGATTCATATCTATACCATAATGACTAGCTTTAAACAAAATTCTGTAGTTTCAGAAGGACAATTTTGTTTATTTCAATGTAGTATCACATGAACATCTCTACCTTCTTTACACTTTTTTCAGGTGGGAGTTAATAAAAATTTGTAAGGTTCAGGTACAATTATTTTATAATTTCTCAAGTCATAAAATAGCCCTAATTTTCTCAGAAAACTTAAGGTTCGCTTTTTCCCTTTCTGTCTGTCTTGTCCCAATCCTATAAAATTTATACTCATTAGTTCTGGATCATTCTCATAATCCGTGAGATGTACAGCATGAAATTCTGTAACCAGAATCACATCCTGGAGAAGCAAGTTGATCTCACTAAGTAAAAAGAAGCACGAAATGGGTGAGACTTGAAGATTTGTATCCTCTCCAAAGATCTTAGTTTATTGAAATACTTTATTCATTTTCATATGAAATTCACAAAGCACAAGAAATCATGTTTGTGCTCTTTTACACATAGCAATCTGGTATTACACCATTTTCATGGACAATCAAGTTCCATTTGCTTATCCTACTAACACTCTCCAGTACTTTACTAATGGCAGCAAGAAAATGAAATTGCAAGGTTGCGTTCTGCCTACCTACAAACCATAAAGCAGTGAAATAATTCCCATTCTTCACTTATAATTCTCTTTTTCATTCAGTGTTTCCTTATTTTCTAAGACAAGACATCAAAGTTTTAGGCCACACAAAAGGTATTCAGCTTTCAAGAGTAGATATTTATGGTGTAGGAGTAACTCTCAAAAGCCATAAGAATATTTTGACCTTTCAAAAGGTGACTTCTGCGGTGTGTGTGTGTGTGTGTGTGTGTGTGTGTGTGTGTGTTGTGGTTGCTGTTGTTATTGAGGATCAAACTCAGGGCTCTGTTCATACTGGGCCAGTGTTCTACCTCTAAGCTCCTCCAAAGCTGAGTTTTAAACTCTTTTCCTGGGACACTGTTTTTGACAATTGAGAGATTAAAAATATTTGTAATTTGATTTTTATTTCACTTTGAAATGTGTAAATGTCACTCTACTAGTTTAGTCAACTTAAATTCTTGTTACAATCATTGTGTTCATTTATTTTTTTCCTAGACATAGCATCCTCATGTATATGTCACGTTGATTAATACTCAGACACTGTCTGTGATATAAAATGTTATTCTCTTACATTTGTTTGTATAACAACATGGAAATTTAAATTTTATTGTGAGTACTGGTTTGCTACATGAAGATTCATTTGTGTGAATTCCTACCAATATGTCATTATTTAGTTTTGGCTTTGATTTTAATTGGGAATAAAAATTCAATTTATTGAATTAAAGGGGAACAAAACTTACATCATGTTTAGCAAATATTTTATTGAACTCAGTTATCTATAATAAAGATTAAATAAAACCATAGGACAATAAATCTTGAAGCAATTACTGGCAATTCATTATAAAGACTATGACATCATAATGGCAATCTATGAAAATGCAATAAGGATTAAATTATATGCTTATGATTTCTATTTTATTGAAAATTGTTCTAAAAATATTTCCATTTATTGTCCCCTGAATTCATTTCTATTGCTTTTTAGTACCCAAATAAGCACTTGCAGATTTGATGCAATCCACATTTTGTATAAATACATAAATAATACTTTTTGTCTTCCTACCTATGACAAGAATGATTTTTGGTCGAGGTCTAGCAGGATCAAAAACCTCATACTCTTCAATTAACTCTGCAGTCTCTGAGAGATCCGTGTCACTTTCTATAGAAAACTGGTGGATGGGAGGGAGCCGGTCATACCGCCGATATGGAAAATTTGAATTTTCAGGCAATACTGTAAAAGAGTAAGGTAACTTTGAAAAGGAGAAAAAGCAGGACAAAACACCATTCACATTTATTCAGTTAAGACAAGGAATTTCAATAATGAGTTTGATTTGCTATTTCCATTGGAAGAAGACTTCCTAAGTGGTCAGCAAACTTCTTAAAGGGCCAGATAGACAGTATTTTAGAATCTAAGAGTCACAGTCTTATATACGAGTCAGCCATGGTAGCGTGAATGGAACCACAGACGACCCATAAGCAAATGTTCAAGTGGTGTCCCAATAAAATTTTTTTTAACAGGCAATGAGCTGGACTTAGCCAACCCCTGCACTATCGGAACCTTCTCAGACATTCCACAGTGCTGCTTGGCAGATTGTATACATCCTGGCTTGTGCAAATAGTGCTCCCTGCAGTTGTGCAGTACCCAACCTTCACAACCACATGCAGCTGCTTGTGCAGCCAACCATTTATTCATTCACTCGCTATGGTCCAGGACCAGCAGAATGGGTTGGTGGCATATGAAGAAACAGAAAACTACAACACTGTCCTAAACTAGGTTAGAAGGGTGCAAGTAATTTCTATATTTGGAATTCACTTCGATATAATTTCCATTTACTTTCCTAGCATTTATTTTCTTTAACTTACTTGATTTAAAAATATAAATATGAAGGTTTACATTTAAGTCTAGAATGGTAACAAATATTTTCCATATTGCCAGGCATGTTAATTTGTTGAGGATGATTCTGGAGAAGAGTAAGATGCAGTTCCATCTCTTCAGTGCTTACAGGTTAGAGTTTATATCTGACAGCTGCATGCACACCAGGCAGGAGAAATGTTAGAATGAAAATCTCTCAAGGTAAACACCATAAAGATCAAAGAATGGGTGAATCCATTTGGGCTGCAGTGGTAGGAAGGGATTTGCAAAAGAGGCAGCACCAGAACTTTGAAAGACAGCACAAGTGATGAAATGTAGAACATATATCCCAGCTGACAAGTCTAATACCAAGATACAGAGTCTGAAATACAAATAACATAGTGAAAATACCAGAAGACAGATCTGACAAGCCCAAAGCAGGCAGATAGATGGTCTCTACCTGTTGTGATTATGGTTTACGGCTCCTGTACCTCATGTATCAGCATCTTGGGAGGCACAGGGGAGCCCCAACTGTCCAAGGTGTACCTGCCAAACAGGAGGCCGCCTGATCCTGCATAGGGGTTTCTGCTAAAGTGGATCTTGAATCTAAGCATGGTGCAGTGCTGGAATCTCTCCCAGGGGTGTCAATCAGCTACAGCTTACATTCTCTGCTGCTAAAATAAATGAGGCCCCTGGCCACTGACTTACTGGACTCATTTTTATTTCAAAAGAAGAGTTGAGTAATCTACAGATGACAGTGAACAGTCTTTAGAAAATGATGGGGAAGATTAGGTCAGGGAAGGTACTAACAAAACTAACCTATTCTGCCTTGAAATTTAGTCACTTCACTCAACACAAGGCAGAGCCTTCAGCGTTATCCTTCATTACCTTATTCCCTGACTTAGGTCTAGTGCTATAGAGCTTATTGCCAAAACCTATTACAAATGTGCATATTCTTCTCTCCATCTCCACTTCTACAGCCTTTTCCCAAGGTGGCATCACCTTTACCTGGACTGTTATAACACATGTTTCACTGGCTTGCTTACTTTCATATTTGTCCCCACAATCCAGAGACTGAAACTCTCTCACCTCTTGGCTCCTGTTTTAATGCCTGTTCTTGATGGCTACAATCTCAGTCCTAAAAGAATATCTAGCACACACCCAATAAATGGTTATTTTATTGTGCAATGGACTCAATGACAGATTTCATGAAAACAGGAAAAGGAGAAGTGTTGGTTTTTATGCAAACATGGCATATTATTTGGTTTCAGACATGTTGAGCATAATATGATGAGCTATTCCAGAAGATGTCTACAGATATTTGAGACCAGAACTCTTATTTACATGTAATTATTTGTGCAGTTGTGTGCATATGACAGGGGGAAAACAAAGAAAGCTCCTTTCAGATTTAATATGTTAAAGAACTATCAGCAAACAACTTATTTTGCCTTGTCCTACTCTAATTTAGGGAAGCAATTTACTCAGGTGACAAAAATATTTTATATGATAGAATAGTTTTTCAGGATAATCATATGTCAACATAGATATGTGAAATTCATGAATCACTGTGTTTCTAGAAATTATTTTGTCTTATGTTACCGAGAAGTTAGGAATTTCTGTTGAATTTAATATGTATTTCACAAATTACAGCTAAAACTTACAAAGAACACACAAGCCATTTCATAGATAAAATGTTATAATTACAGGATAAATCAGTTTAGAAAATATTTTCCATTTTTAGCATGTGTCCCAGACAGCAGGATACAACATTCTTACCACCACTGAACAAAGAAAAATTCTCCTTGAAAAGACTTTTGGCTGGGAAATCTGGAAAGCATCACAGGGCATGGAAACCCTAATATTAACAAGCAATTTATTTTAATGTCAGTTAAACCAGCATTTTCCTTTCATGCTTTAGTTTATTATGGTAGATCAAGAGTTGCAAGATTGGTCACTCATGAATATGAGAAAGCCCATAGATGTGCTTTGTTTAGCTTGTCATCATTCTAAAATTTATATCTGAGTGCTTTTGGTGACTATTCTCTCTATCTTTGCTCTCTCATTGGGCCACACACAGTCCTCACTATTCTTTGTTATACTTCTGGCTTGCCTAGTTTCCTTGTAACAGCAAGCTGAGTAATGGTAGTAAGGTTTAATTTTGATGTAAACTGCTATTTTCCATACCAGTCTTAGATTAATGTATTAGTTAATTGAATGTCATAACTCCTTAGACTTTGACTTTTAATAGGGCAAAATATCTTAGGCTAAGTCTAGTAATATCTGAGATGTATTAGATTTCTGGAATTGTCTCAATTTATCTAGCAGGGCTTGATACAGGGCCAGATTCTAGCAACTTGATACTTTGATGGGGAGGGGTGAGCTAGCCACTTAGGAAGTTTTATGAATTCATGAAGCACATTAAAGTACTCTGTTTACCCCAAAGCAGAAACACACAAGAAGTGTGCCGCAGCAGTAACTGTCCTAATCTTCCTGCGGTGACTGCAGGCCACAGCAGTGCCAAACCTAAGCTGTGTGTATGCAGTTTGGATTGGAGCCCTGAACTGCAGTTCTGTTCACTTGCTGCTGTGTATCCTGGGCTGCTCTCAGCAAACCAGGAACCTCACTGATTGACAGACAGTGAAGTTTTCAGCTTGGAACTGACATCCTGTTATTAGCTAGAAAGTGAGTCTTTGAAAGAGTGAAAAATCTCATTAGAATTGGGTGGTTCTGTGGGTCAAGGCAAAATATTTGGTGCTAATTCAATTTTGTAAGCATATGAAGATGTGACCTTAACCTTAGGACATGCCACAAAGTGTAATGACATGGTTTATTATGTACTGAGTGATGTTTTACCATTTATCTGAGATGAATCAGAGTGAGAGACCTTGCACAGTAATGAGGTCAAATGATTTCAAAGACTTTGGATATTAACCTTATTCCTTACGGTCACACCAAATATTTTCCAATTATTTTTATTTTTTTTCAGGGGCAGGTGGTATCCATTAGAACATTTAAAATTAGCTCTAAATGGAAATTCCAAATATCTCAGTTGTTTCTCAATAATACTGGGAAATTTGGTGGTGGTGGTTGTGGTAAGTCACAGTAAGATATGAGTACCCACACCAAAACCACTAGTATTCACTCCTGCCTGGATGGGGACAGATGCTTCTTCCCTTGGGAGATGTTTTTGAGGAAACTGTATTTCTATTTTCCTTCTGCTTGTGCTGACAAATTAGCATCTCATGACTTTTTCCTACACCACATTCAAATAAAATCCAAATCAATCACTACTGAATAAGGTTGAATGGAATTATGATTTGTTTCCTTCTTGGATTTATTTCAGATAGAATTGTCTCTGACTCAGATTTTGTTGATATAGATGAAACTTTCTGTGGTGGCTTACAAGGCTGGTTTAAGTTTTGAAAATAGAATGAGCTTGGCTACTACAAAAGGATGGATTTAGTTTTCCCTGACTGCAACTTACTCTACTTTTTACATGCCATTATACTTCACAACTACAGCCAGGGCCTGAAAGGCTGGCGGGCTCCTGAAGAACCTACCCGTGATTTGAGTAAACATATTTCAGAAAGAAATCAGAACATCATGAATCTTATGCAGTGCTTATAAAAGTTCTCCTAACATTTAAACAAGTCCCCTTCTTTTATAGTCCTGTTGCCTAATCTATCACATTCACAGCCGCTTAATAAATCTTTTAAAATTAGCTAGTATAAACTTCATATGTGTTTATGCAGCCTTATTATTAATATGAATTCTGGACTTGGAAACATTAATAACACAGATCTCTTTCTAGCTAATGAAAAAGGTTAAATTGTTATACAGTAGTCACCAATTTTATCTGAACTCTACTCATGTATTAGGAAAAAGTTGAATTTTAATTTAAAAGTAAATTCAAGATTTGTTAATGTAATTCATTTTACAAAATAACAAAGTCAGTAATCTAAAATTTCATTAAGTCTTTAGCAAATTGCTGGACAATGGTATGTAATTTTGTTTTTCTGATGGAGGTGATTAGAATTAGTAGCAGAAAGAAATTAATCATGTCCCAAGGCCTCACAATTTCCCAGGCACTTATGACTCTAATAAATTAAGTCATGGTCTATAAGCCCCATGGTGTATTTTAAAGCTAATTTCTCTGCCTATAAGCCTATCATTCTGCATATACGTTACCATTTCTTAGAAAGGATCTCCTGGACTGTCCCCCATTTAGTGGCGGTAAGGTCTTCTTTTCCTGGCTGACAAATGTGTCCCACTTCACCTTGTCACAGCCACCTAGTTCCTTTACTTTCTGTAAACAACTTTCCAAGTACTCTACTGGATCTTCAGGCTTAGAGCACATCAGTCCATTCAGAAGGCTCTGAAATCAACAACAAACAAAATAAGCACATATAAAATGTTTTAAAACTATCTTTGCTTAAATACTGTTACATCCCATTTCTGAATTCAGGGTTGTTTTTGTCCTTTTCATAAACAATTAAAGTCCAAATTATGTGATTGAGTAATTAAGATAACTCTGACATTCTAGATCAGTTAGTCTGCAGCTTAGCATTCCCTGGCTTTTGAACAATTCAGGAAACTATGCAGTTTAAAACAGAAGAGACTGATGAAAGTTAGAAAAAGTGTAGCATGTGGACGTGCCCCTGGTCATTATTTATTTCATCCTTAAGTTCTGTAAACCCCAGTTTCTTCTGAAAAAATGGGGATAATTATATCTACTTTATAAGGTTTTCCTCTTTTTTAAAAAAAATTTAATTTTTTATGTATTTAGTACAGGGTCTACAGGGTCACTACACAGATTGGACTCGTAGAGATCCTCCTGTTTTCAGCCTCGCAAGCACTAGCATTATAGACCCAGGCTCAGTTACTGTCTCAGCGTGCCCCGGGGGTGGGGCTAGCACGGTATGCCAGGGATTGAACCCAGGTCTCTGCGTCTGCCTAAGCAGGTGCGTTAATCCACTGAGCTCTCTGACTGACCCTAGCTTACAAAGTTTTATAAGAATCTTCAGATGCATTATTTGAACGATGTATATTAAATGACTTGCATGTTCCAATAACTCAACAAATGTTGGTTTCAGGTAGCGACTTGCTAAGCTTGATTATGGCAATTAGATTGTGTCAGGAACCGCCCAGGGCATTGGTGGGGCGCAATTCTGGGCATGTCTGGGTGGGCCATGGAGATGTGAACTTGGGGACTGTTTGTGAGCCCAGCTCCTCCTTCTCTGGCACTGTTTGCTGGCTCTGTTTCCCATGGACTAAACAGCTCTGCTCTACCATGTTCTTCGACCTTGTTTTTCTTTTTCTTTTTCTTTCTTTTTTTTTTTTTTCTGGCAGACCTGGGGATAGAACTCAGGCCCTTGCACTTGCCAGGGAAGCACTTATTCTACTGAGACATCTCCCCAGCCCCCCGACCTTGTTTCTGCTCAGCTGACCATGGGCTGAAGTTCTTGAAGCAGTGAGCCAAATCCAACCTGTTCTGCATGAAGCTGCGAGCATCAGGTGTTATATCTAGCAACAGGAAAGCTCATACCCAGATATCATCATCATCGTTATCACAAATTTCCTCCTGTACCCCGAGGCTGACCTGTGGATTCCTCTCCTATGTTCCCCTCATACCCAACATGAAGCATCACACTTGTCATTCACACTTAAAACTACTGACTTTTGAATTGGTCTCCTCTTCTAAACTGTAAACTGGAAATCTCCAGCAACAGAGTGGGGCTTATGTATTTTTTCTTCCCAAGGCCTGACACTTTCCCCTGACATGTGGTAGGACCATATTAACCTTTCCTCCCAATAAATCATTCAGAATTGAAGTCTAGTCAGAATAAAAAAAAAAAACAAAACTGAAGCCTGAGACTGTGACATGTAGTAAGTTACCACAATATATATTGAGATTACAGAGTGAAAATATGAATATGAATGATCTAGCTTTATATTGTCTATTCATAGTGTCCAATGTGTTTGTCACACATACTAGCTTCTAAAAATGCCACAAGTTTGGAAAGTCTGACTCCTGGAATCTGATTGATGGGTAAAACATTTTCCTTTAGCCTTTTTTTCATGCAAAAAAATCACAGAGAATTATTATCACCATTTATTTATTTAGGTTTTGAGTCTTGCTGTGTAGTCCAGGCTGGACTTGAACTCTACATAGTCCAGGATGACCTCAAATTTGCAGCAATCTTCATGTCTCAGCTTCCCAAGTCCTGCGATGATAAGCACCTGTCACCATACCTGGCTACCAATATGTATATTTAATGTGTAAGACAATCATATCCTTTCAAAAGATGGACAGCTTTCCTAAATACAGTATTGTATTTTCAATTCATTCTTGTGCCGCTTGCCCAGAATGGCAGGCAATTCTTAACAGGTATATTTGTTTTCCAAATTTTTAAATAAATGGCTTAGAGTGCTTAACTCTGTTAGACCAGCTCTCTTGCTTAGGGAGCAGAAAACACTAAGCCAGGCACCTGCACCCAGTCTGTGTTGAGATCTCTGCTGTCCCCAAGCTCAGTGCAGTTTGGCATCCCATACTCCTGAGCAGAACCTGCCCCACCACACCACGGGGATCTCCCTGTCTTCGGGGCATTAGCTCTCCCAGTGCACTACACGTCTTGTGTGGTATTATCTCCATTTTAAAGATTAGAGAACTGTGGCTAAGGGATGCCAGGGACTTGCTCAAGGTAGCTTGGCTAGAGGTTTCTAGGTCCAGGTTTCCAACTCAAGTCTCTGACTCCCAAACCCATGTATTGTTACCTGCTGTATATGTTGTAAAATATGGTATAGGATAAAGGAGATACCAGATTGTCTGTGCTCATTTAAAATCCATCTACAATATAAATCACTCAAGATTAAATCTTTTACTTCGCCTTTTACTAATTAATGCCTGATATAGGTGAATATGCTCAGCAGAAGGCTGGCTGGGAAACATACATTTTCAGTCATCCTACCAAAACATGACTCCTGAAAAGGCACTGATTTTGCCAATAGATGGGTCCAACCTCTTTGTGGGTAAGTAAAATTCCTTCTTCTAATAGCTAGTCACTATCAGAAATTGAAGGTAACTAGCGGACATTATTATGCAGTCTTTCAGTTCTTTGAGAACTTGAGTAACCTAACCTGACTTTTTAGAGTATTAACCACCAAATCAGAGTTCCAAGGTATAAGATCAATCTTCATCATTTATAAAGGTTATATCCAATTGTTTGCTAATAATAGATTCAGTAATCAATCACTTGGTGTGTAATGGTGTCTAACATCCACAGCTGGGGGCAATGTTAGAGGCTTAATTATTAATGGACGGATACCTAATTATTAAACTTCACATACCCAGAGTATTGGCATTTTGATGGAAAAATGCAGCTTAGGAACCTAGGGCATATCACATGGAAAGCTGCCAGATTTGGATTTTCTCTTGCAGCGTGGGCAGCAGGGATTCATTTTACTGGAAGGATGGAGCCTTTAAGGTCATTGTCCTCCTCTCTTCCTGTTGTCCAGGATTGAATCTAACTACTGTATCTGCCTGGCTTCACCCAGACCCCTCTGCCCCTTTTTCTGGAAGCGCACTATTTTAAAGCATCCCACTTGCATGCAGGAAAGCCAAGGGGAAGATCAGACCTGAACAAGGAATGCCTGCTTTCACCTGTTGGCACACACACACAGTAGATTGTCATGAACAAACTATCATTCTCTATGGTTACCGTCCACCAAGGAGGCAAAATAGAATCCACATTTCCAAAGAATGGAGACTATGTATAAATGCAGTGGTTCACAGTCTAGTGGTCCTCCTACTGACGTTTCTAGTTATCCTTTTAGAAATTTAGAAATGAGAGTGAGCTCTGCAGTAAAATTGGTGACAAAGACCTTTCAACTCTTCATCTCCTTATTTACTTCCTGAGAATTAAAACCCATCCCTATGCAACTCCTGAGACCCGTCCCTATGCAACACCACCTGATTACTGTCACGTAGGAGTGACACACTGGCTGAATCTGGGCTTCCCATCACCACCCTGAGCTCAGTGGGTAGCTAACCCGCAAATCTTGGCTTCAGATGACCTAAAATCAGCGGCAAAGATCTGTAATTTCGGCAGCCCACTTAAAAGATAGTTTGAGGTACGGGGAATGTGGCAAATGAATTTCCCAAGCAGTCTTTTAAAATTCCTTTCAGTTGACAGAATAAATCCAACAGGAGAGAGCAACTCATTACCTTCCCTTTACCACATCCATGAATCATCTTTCACACAGGGGAGGTCAGGTTTGAAGGGAATGAAGATCTCCTTTCAGGCTCGCCCTACCATGCTTGTCTCCATTCTATTCTTGTTTATTTTCATCCAAGCAAAGCCCTTTAGGATTTAGCAATGTCTTTTTAAGATTTAAATAGGGAGAGAAGGAAAGGAGGCCAGCGGATCCGAGACGGAGGCTGCGGCTCAGAACTAAGTAAGCTCCCCGGAGCTCTTTTGCGAGCCTCCTCACGTTCTCAAAGCCCCCCGACCCCCACGCCGCACCCCTCGCCGGAGCTCCTGAGCCGTCTGAGGATAGCAACAGGAGTCGCGCCCCCCTCGCCGCCCCCGGACCTGCGGACCCGCCGTCTGCCATGGGATGGGCCGGAGGCATCTCCACCTCTCTCTGGCTCCAAGCGTCCACCCCGCCACCCCGCGCTTTCCTCCACACCCCTTTCCCTGGAGGAGCCTCGACCTCTGGCACCCCGAGGATCTGGGTTCAAGATCACCTAGTTTCGTGTCCTTGGCCCACGCGGGCTACCGTGCGCTCCCCTGTTCCGACTCTGCCCCCCGCGAGCGCGGCCAGGCCGCTGCCTGCAGCCCACCCCCGGCCGCAGCCCGCGGTGCGCGGGGCCACCCCGCCTCCGGAACCCGCTTTGAAGAGGGAAACTTGATCTGTGGGATGCAGGCTTCTGACCCAGACCTCGGCCAAGGACCTGGCAACCGCGGGAAAGCCGATCCTCGGCGAGCGCCCCATTTCCGCGCCCCGCACTAGGAAGGCAGGACAGGGTGCAACTGCTGGCCCCCGGGTCCGGGGAGCCCTCTCCGATCCTGCGGTCCGCGGCCCCTTACCTCGAACAGCTGAGGGATTTCCCTGCGGGCCAGGTACTCCTTGGCGTCGCCGGTGTTCATGTCTGCGCCGCGCGCGCCCCGGGGCGGTGGCGGAGAGGCTCCGGGCAGCGGCGCCCCGGGCTGGGCTGGGCTGGGGCTGGAAGGGTCCACGGTGCAGCGCCGGCTTCCGAGCGAGAGGGGCTGCGGTCTCGGCGCTGCTGTCGCCCTCGCTCGGGTTGCTGGTCCCGCGCCTGAGCTCGGGCTCGGAGCAGCGGAGCCGCGCTTCTCGGGCTCCCGGCCAGGGGTGGAGGGAGCGGAGGAGGGAAGACGGTGAGACGGGCGCCGGGCAGCAGCCGTCTGCCTCCGGTTCTTTCCAGCCTCGCGGAGCTCTGTCTGCGGCAGCGGCGGCCGGTCACGCTGCGCGGGCGGCGCGGGGCGCGGGTGGGGACGCGCGCGGGTCTCGCAGTCACACCCCACCCTCTGCGCGCACCGCCACCCTGCGCGCGCCCCAGGGACGGGGACTCAGCCACCACGGACGAGGTGGCCAAGGGAACTGGGGTGATGGTGGTGGAGGGGCTCTTGGAACCTGAGATGGGATTGTTTCTCCAGATCTTGTACACACACACACACACACACACACACACACACACACACACAGAGGCACACATGCACCAGGTATTCTGAGTTCCCAAGGAGCTCCCGGGAGACAAACTGATAGGCAAGGAATGCATCCTTTATTCCTAGGGCTAAAGATCTTCCAGTGGCAGGGTTGTGGTTGGAGGAAGAAAGGTGGTCCTGGTTCAGAATCTGTCCCCTAAGATCATTCTTATATTTTCAATATCTCTTATCTTCTGGAAAGTTTGGCAACTGGTTTCGAATTTTTTCTCTGGTAGAGTCACATATAGGACTCACTAGAAGGCCTTTGGGTGGGCCTGAATCTGCAGGAACAGAAAGATTAGTAAGTAGTCAACTAAGGGAATATTTCCACCCAGAAGAAGGGGAGGGGGTGGAGGGCGGGTGCTGCTAGAGAGTTGGAAACTGCTTGGTGGAAAAGTGCTCAGTAAATGGGGGTCCTGGGCCCCACCTATTAGACTGAGCAAGAGTAGCCCTTGGGTGGGCGAGAGGCCTGCTGGGAATGGAGCTCCTTCCTGCAGCAAACCATTGTGTAGAGGCACTCATCCTCTCAGCTCCAACATTACTCATTGTCCCATAAAGGTGGCTTCCCTTGCCTGTTGGAGAGATGGTCTATGCCCTTGGGAATACGATCTCCAACTGCATGCAAGTCCTGCCACTGTGGGAGGGGAGCAGGCTCTTCTAGGACTGGCACCTGGGGTCTGGCGAAAGAGAAGGCAGCACTGCAACAGCTTGAAACATGTGTGTGAATGTCAGTTCCGAGTTTGTCCTGGCAGACCTTTTTTTTGGTTCTATTTCTCGTTGCATCACCAACTGCTACTCAAGCTTGACTGTAACTGTGGCTTTATTTTACCCAGGAGAGGGAACTCAAGAAATAATTCTCTGAGTTTTGCAAAAGGAAATGAAGTTTTTGGACAGCTGTGAAACCATGTGCCACAAGCATGTGTCGTATAGTAGCCTCAGATGAGGCAGGTAGTTTGGTTCTGTGGAAAATGGTGTCTGACCTTGGAAACTGCCACATGGTTTATAGCTTCAGCTTGTTTCTTGACCTTGTATAAGAGCAGGCTACAGAAGGAGTGAAAGTTGGCTCTTCCCTAGGCAACCATGTCTGAAAAGACCCAGGATCTGTAGCAGAAAGGGTAATGGTAGCAGGCACAGTGGAGGTGAAACCCATGAGGCCACAAGGACCACTTCCTGTAGGACGTTGCAAGGTCATTCGTTCCAGCGAACAACGTGGTGGGCCACAGTTCTCATCTCCCCTTCTGTTCCTGCCACTGGATGGATACATGAGTCTCTTCCTGTAGCCCAGGATGGAGAGAGACCCAGGAAAGAGGTAAGATTTCATAATTGTTTTTTGTCAAGGAAATGTGGCCTCTTAGGGAAAGGCTGTCTGTGGGAAGTACAGTGCTTAAAAGCCAGGATGACAATGTGGAGGAGAGGAAAGGGTAGCAACAAGGAGCCCTAAGTACATCCTAGCAGTGGGAGAGCTGGTATCTCGTTCCTGCTGAAGAAATTCTCAGGGCAGGTACATAGAAGACCCATGGCCCTGTGTGCTCTGTTTCATAAAAATGAGCACACTGCCTTTTCCCCACACAGCATTAGATACAGACTAAGTGGGTCATGACTGACTAGCCTTTCACAAACTGAGATGTGTTTCTACCTTATATTTATTAGAAATAGAACTGTCTCTACCTCAAATTCTGTCTGGGGTAGTTGAAATGTTTGTTGTACAATTTTTGAAAAGGGTTTTCAAAATGTAACGGTCTTGGTCACTGAAGAAGAATGAACTAAAAAGCCCTTCTTTTCCATTTTAATTTTATATTAGTGCATGTTTGCAGCACATGATTCCTTCTTGCTTGTCCATTGCTCACTGGGAGTTGACAGACAGATATCACACATCTTTTCCTTGCTTCCCTTCCCCCCCTTCCTTCTCCTTCCCTTTCCTCTTGCTCCCCTGCCCATTCGCAGAAGACCCGCCTCCTTGCTCCTAGTATCTACCTTTCATTTTGTCTGTATTTTTATTTTAGGTTTCTTATGTAGGGGAAACCATGTGCTATGTAAGCTTGGGCATCTCATTTATTTCGCTTGACTTTATGGTCTCAGGATGCCCCAATCACACTGTGGGAGAGGGTGCTAGTTCCTGAAAATTTCCCGTGGAAGACAGACTTGATCCCTGCCATCAGGGAACTTACATTCTCCACAGGTAATAAAACTGCCTAAACAATGTCAGTGATAAACCAAAAATCTATAAGAAAAAGGACACGCAAGAGGGCATCAGACAGTGCTAAGTGTGATGATGAAATTCACAATGAACTTGATGTAAAGCAATGCACAGAGGGTCCAGATCTGTTCTGAGGGAGTAGCAGGGAAAGTAGGGTTGGGGCTGGCCACTGGGGTGCTGACTAGGGTTTCCAAAGGGCCAGACATCCTTGAGGCAGAGGCCTTGTGGGGGGGGAAAGCTCCCCCAAATCATCCCTAAGGAGCCCCATGCTGACACACAAGCCTCATCTCAGCACAGGATCAGGCCTCCCCTGCCTGTTACTCAAGTGTCCATGGGTAAAGACCATTTGTCCCTCACACACAACCAGGGCTCAAGGACTCTCTACACAGGACGATGCTCCTCAAACCCTGCATGGCAGCTGGAAGTAGATGCACACCTTCTCCTGCCCCTGACAGACAGTTATGACATTCCAATTTAATGGGAGCCAATTTAAGTCAGGAGATTTTGGCCATCAAGAACAAAATATTTCTCCTGCTGCCATTCCCAGGCTGGGAGACTAATGGGAGCAAACATTGTATTACTGACGGTAGTATAGCAACAAGTTTGGCCATAACACAGGACAAAAATTTATTGAGTGTTTGTCATGAGTCAGACAATGTGCTAAGTACTTAATATATAGCCTACTGTATCAGTCAGGCTTTTACTAGAGGAACAGATATAACACAAGATGTACAAATGTGTAGGAAATTACAAGACTGGCTTACGATGATGGTCAGCCACAACGTTGGATGAGGAAGCATACAGAGGGCGTCTGCACACTGGAAACAAAGGGGTTCAGTCCAAGGCCTGGAGCTCACTGCATTTTTCTGTGCAAGTCTGTATCAGGAGGCCAGTGGGTCTGCGATGGAAGGCTGATGAGCTACACCAGAGGCTAAAGGATCCAAGGCGGAAGCCAAGAGCCTACGCTGGAAGCCAGGAGATGATGTCTAAGCTGAAGGTAAGACTGGAGCTCCTCTGAAGAACGGAAGCCTCCGTCCTTGCTCATTGCCTTTTTGTATCCCTTAAGTGATGAGCCACCCTCACTGTGGCTCCTCTACACTCTGGTGTGTGGAATTGCTGAGCTGATTTAGTTAAGCCTCTGAACTTCTTAACTTGACACAGTGTCTTCGGCCAGTCTCTCAAAACATTTCCAAATTAATTCCAAAGGTTCTTAAGTCACATGACCAGACAACATTGTAGTAATCACCCCACTCTCCTGGGTTCAGTTTTGTCATGGTTTGGGGGTTTTGGAAGGGGAATAATACAATACAGGACACATTTTATAAGATTATTTTAAAATGAATCACCCGGAATTTCTGCCGCGTTCCGGGAACCCCCAGACCCAGTCCTAGCCCAGGCCGGGTGAGTGTGTGGGAGAGCTTCCAGATACCCTGCGACAGCAGGACCTACTGATCCCAGCCCAGGGGCAGCGTGGGTGAAACCCTCTTCCACCCCCTTGGTACGCCCCCCACCACTCCGCAGCACCTCCCCTACCCGGCCTCCCCAGTAGGAATTTCTGCTGCGTTCCGGGAACCCCCAGATCCAGTCCTATCCCAGGCCCGGTGAGTGTGTGGGAGAGCAGCCTCTCCCCCCTACTCCACCTTGTGCCCTCCAGACTCAGCTCAGGCCTGGCACACAGGCTTGGGGTGAAAACCTGCAGCTGCAATCCCTGCAGAGAGTGTAGGGGACAAAAATACCCAGCTAGTCCAGGAGCAGAACATCTTGCCAGAGGGGCACAACAGGTTCAGCCCCAAGGGCAGCAGCAGGAAGGAGCTGAGCACAGCAGCCAGACCCAAGCCAGGCACAGCTGGATAAATCCAAACTTTGTAGTTCTGCACCTGAACTTCATTAGGTGCTAAGGCTATAACTGCAACAAAGATCTACAACAAAGGTCAGAAGACAGTGCTACACAAAATGACAATGAGAAGGATCAGAATGCAATCTCAGACCCCAAATCCACCCATAAAAAGTGCAGAGGACACTAACACAGAAGAAATTGGGAATCACACAGCTGAAAGCAATGAAATAATGGCTTCTGAAATAAAGAAACAGCTGCAGAAAGGTATAGAGGAACTCAGATTGGAAATGAAAAAAGAAATCCCTGAATTAATAACATCTGCAGTGAAGAATTGAATGTAGAAACATATGGAGGAAACCAAATGCCCACCCAGAACAAGTACAGAGGACA